GTGGAAAGTCAACAGTTTGCCAGCTCCAGTTTGATGCAATCAAGGGACTATTTGCTTCGCGCAGTAGATCTTGGCACACATGCACCCGAGAGGCATTGAGAGGTAGATTGGCTGGCGCCATTTCGTAACGTCTTTTTCTTTCTTGGGCACCTTGAGGCCAACACTGGAGGTCTTCCAGTAGATGGAGAGGCGGCAAGGAGCCTCAGTTGGGAACTGCTCCGCGAGGTTCTCGTGCGGTGAGCCGGGCGGGCCCTTTGAAGCACAGAGCTGCATGATGCTCAAAATGCGTTTCTTGGCCTCCTCCTGTGTGGCCACACGCTCTTGGTCCATGCTAATGGTACTTGATAGCACGCGTGCGCGTTTGGCCGGCGGAGTCTGGTCCGGCTCGTCTGTGATTGCTTTGCTCTCTTTGCTCTTGCTCTTGCTCTTGCGTTTGCCGGCTGCGACCGGCGGGTCGGCCTTTTTATCGCTGTCTGTCGCAGCGCTTGCAGGTTCGGCAGATGGCGTGGAATCGCTGGTTCCAGCCGCTGCCGTGGCTTGGGGCTTTGCCTTGGCTCTGTTTGTCCGGCGTGCCTTTCTGGGCGCCAGCTCTGTTGCTTTTGCCTGCGCCTTTTCCTGGTCAGGAGTGATGTCACATTGCTGCTGCTCCTTCTGTTCGGTTGCCTGGGGATGCTCCTCCTGTTCGGCAGCCGGGGCCTGCTTCTGATTTGCCAGCTGTTGCTTGGCAGCCTCACTGTTGGCCTCCTCTTCTTCCTGCTGGGGCTTCTGTCGTTTCTGACGCTTGCCCCTTTGCTTTGGCTGCTTATCAGTGACACGCGTGTTGAGTTGGTTGTCCTCCTGATGTGTCTGCTGCTTCTCCTCGGCAATGCTTCCTTGGTCTGCCTCTTGATGCTTGTCTTGATGCTCCTTCTGGTGCTCCTCCTTCTCACTTATTTGGCCTGTCTCCTCGTCCTTGCCCTGTTGTGTCGTCTTTGAGTGCTGCTGTTTGTTGATCTGCTTTTGCTGTTGCTTGGAAAGCTTGCTTTGCTCCTTTTGTTCCTTCACGAGTTTGCTCTGCGCCTTCTGATCCTTTCTTTGGGCCACCAGCTCATCCCTCAAAGCAAACTGGTCCCGCCGGGTGATGTACCCCACTGACTTGATTTCGGGGAAGGAGTCCTGTGGCAAGATATCTTAAACAGTGTTGCATCAGAGTTAGTGCAGTTCATTGACCAGTTACAAAACAAAATTCAGATCTACGATTGGTTTGTGAGCTTCGTTGTTGTTAGTGGTTTCAAAAAGATGTTGCGCAAACAACGCACTTGTCAAAGAGTCACACTATATACACTTGGCCAGTGTGGTGTTTCAACCAGGCGTCCACAATTGGCATTGCATGGGTTTTGGTGAGCAACCCCGCGTTCCTATTTTAGAGATTCGACCACAGAAACCTGTGTCATCCCATTTGCTGCAGCTAATGGGTTTTCATGCATATGGGGGTCAGGCATGCTTTTGTTTAAGTTGGGCAGTTCTCAGTCTTTGCACGCGAGCCCACCCCAACCAGTCCTTTGTTTCCACAAAGCCAGCTTTCTCCTTGGCGACAACGTTGAGTGTGGAGGCAGAGCTGACTAAAAATGATGGGTCCAGGACAGGTTGGGTCTCAGCATTGTCCATGGCGTACGGCTGGGACTCGTCGACATAGATGCCTGCACGTGCGCACGACGGGCCGCAAACGCAAAGCTTAACATCGCACGTGTTCGACGGGTATGAAGATGTGGTTTTGTTGTCCTTTAAAAACAATTCGGTAAACAAAACACGCCAAGGCACAATCAGGTTGCTCTGCAGGTTTCCCTAGGGACATTGAAGATCTGGATCTGGACAGTGTTGAGTTCACACGCCTAAGTTCGAAGTTCGGGGTGCTGGCCAAGCAGGATAAAAAGCTTCAAGTGGGATTACACCTGTGCCCCCTTTTTGTATAACGTTAACAAAAAAGAACAAAACAACTGGAAAACGATTGGAAGCAACCAGCTTGTTGCCATATAGCAAAATCACAGCCAACCAACGTATGCCAATCATAAACCTAAGCACTCCAACTGCTGTGTCCGACGGAGCAAGCGTTGCTGCAGCTGCTGCAGCGAGAGCTCCTCAGGCCTGGTGTCGCCCACGACCTCGATCTCATCATCTGCAGTCAGTGCAGGCTCGGCGGTGAGGGCTTCAGGTTCATCCCCCAGCACCGCTTTCATTTGCTCGAGTTCCTGCAGGGAACTCATGAAGTTTAAAAGCCTGTTTTGATTTCTCGCAGATTCGGGAGGGAAGCTCGATCCGATTTTGAATGCACTTTTGGTTGTGTGTGTGTGTTGAGGCTTCTGCCAAACCATCAACAATTAAGATAACCATCGAAGGTTTCGACGAGAGTCAAAGGATTTTGTTGCGCACACACACACACCTATATTGTAAGGGTTTGCGTGAGATTGACCAAAGCCATCAGAGGCTTTAGTGGGACCCCATGTGAAATTATGGCTCAAGCAAAAGGACCTGGCATTGGACTGACCAAAGTCATCAAAGGTCGCCCTGGAACCCACGATGTGAAACTATTGCTACCGCAAAACCGTATATTATATTTGGTGGATTTACCAGGGAACCACCAAAATGACGACAACCGCGCTGGGGAGCAAACAGGTCAAATTTGAAACAAGGCGCCTCATCAAAACCAGTCTTTTCTCCTGGTTCGCAAACTTCAGACACCTTCTCGGGCAAGGGTTGCTTGTCATCCTCAAGCGAAAGTGCTTCCAAGGGTGGCAATTCTTCTTCCTGAAGGGTGGGCTCCAGGCTTTGCGTCCCCTTAAGTGCCTCCTCAAGCGGGGGGGTCTCCTCCTCGGCCACCACTAAGGAATCCCCGCCCGGGTTTGCTTCACAGCCAACTTCTGATTGAGATCGTTGACCAGTTTTGAAGCGAGCCCAGTAGGCATCCCGTTGCCTCAAGACTTCTGGGGAGGGCGCAGGAACCTGACGTGTGTCTGGGGCCTTGCCATTTGCCGGGTCCAAGCTTGAGGATGATGTTCCCACCTCCTTCTTGTGATCCGTGTCCAGCGGCAAAGCCTTGTGGGTGTCCATGTCGCTTTTCGGTGCTTCCTCTTCCTCCTTCAGAAAGAAAGCTGCATGTGTCATGTGCTTGAACAAGACAACCCTTGCCCAAATAGCTCCTTAAGACAAAGGGATGGAGACAAGGAGCGAAGGAGAGAAAGAGAGAAGTGAATAAACAGGAAAAATAAGAATGAGACTAAGCAACCAACAAGGACAGAAACAAAAAAAACACGAAATATAAAGAAAAAGAAAGACAGAAAAAAAGAAAGATAGATAAAAAGAAAGAAAGAAAGAAAGACATAACTATATACATAAAGAACGAGAGAAAGTCAGCCAAGAGAAACAGAAAGAATGGTCGATAAAGGAAAGGAAACAAAGGTATAGAAGGAAAAACCGACTAAGAAAAAAAGGGACCAGAGAGAGAGAGAGAGAGAGAGAGAGAGAAAGAGAGAGAGAGAGAAAGAGATCGAGAGATAGGAGCCTTGCTTTTCACCCTCCACCCATACAGCCGCACGACCCCTGGTATCGCGAATGATGTGCTCAACAGAAGGAAGCATGGATGTTCATACCCTTTAACTCAAATTGACTATATAGGGAAGGGCCAACTGGATCCATGAGGCTCTCACAGGTGCACACACACACACACACGCACACACTCTGCTCCTCCAAGATGTGGCCCAGGCAAACCAGAAGAACCCGTAGCGTGTGATCCTGACGGGGAAAAAGCGGCTGACTGCAGCCAGGGCGATTGGGGTTGATTCGGGGCCTTGCACGGCTGAACGAGTCTAGATCCTGCAGCACCATTTTGATGTTGAAAATGATTGTTTCCAAGGAACATGGCCATTTTGGTATAGCGATGTTGCAATTTTAACACGGTTCAAAGAAAATAGCAATTGCTGTGCTGGTTGTCAAATGGTCTCCTTCGGCATCGACTTCTTGTATGTGAGTGACTTCACAAATGTAAGCAGCCGCCGGATTGCCCAAGCTTCCTCATACATTTGGTTATTGGTCCACTCCATCCCGCATAGTTCAGAAAGTTTTTGAACTTCTTGAAGGACTTCATCAATTCCTGGGATCTTCTTGTTGTTTCTGCTCATAATTTGCAAAGCAGGAAGTAGGACCATGGCGTTTGCCTTGAGATTCGGAATAGTCTTCTGGACGAAGCCCACCTCCAACGCAGACTTCTCAGAGCTTCTCTTCAGGACAATGTGTTTGTAGACTCTCACCCGCTCTCTTAGTTCAAAGGTGTTGTCCCATTCCTCAGCCACCCCCGCAAGGTCAAACCCCCCAACCACCAAGTCCATGTCCTGAAGCGAGCTGCCGCCAAGATCCAAGGGCAAACGCACCGCTTGAGCAACGCGTGGCTATAGGGTTAAACACACATCAGGTGGCGGCAACTTCGATCACGCACGCATCAAAGCAAGCGTTCAGGCTAACAGGCCAGGCGGGCCATAGCGTCTCCACGTGCCATGCACGACCATCTCCCATGATGGTCACAACCATGAGCTCAGCACCAGTCACTGCATGAAAACCTATCACTTGCTGGCTGCAAACGGATGTATATAGCCATGGCTGTGTTGCGCACGTTTCATCCTGCTGGATATCGTGAACATGCCTGGGTAGTGTTCTTCATGCCCTGATTAGCAAGCACGCCTGATTGTAGTAGCTTATCGTCCCGCTTGCGATGTTTTTCCTTGCTGAGCCTGTGCCATATAAACCAAAAGTGCGGCTGTGAGGCTGCACACTTCTCAACCAAAGAATTCTCGGAAGCGCCACTGCCGCCATAAGCAGCCGAACGGTCTTTAGAGAACCAGTGTTGGAATTTCAACACCACTATGCAAAAATAATCATTTTAGCTGGAAACGATCATTTTCAACATCAAAAGGTGCTGCAGGTATCTGCATAGAGAGAGAGATAGCAAATCACCATACCAGGTGTGCCTC